CGGGCTTCCCAATTCCCACAGGGTGGCGCTTTCAAGCCTATCCCTTCCGCCACTTCCGCCTGGACGGGAGTTTCCCGAACCACTCCCCCCCCCCCCCCCGCCCGGTACGGCCGCCACCACCGCCTTCCCCGATCTCTGCAACTCCTCGAGGCAGGTTGAGCTTCCCCACGCAGAAGTGGCTTGCGCGGCACGACTTGCAGAAGGTGAGCTTGCAAGTCCCGCACCGCTCGGGTCTCGGCAGCTTCAGGTTGCACTGGAGGCACACCAGGCCCCGAAGGACGTACAGCGCCGCGGGCCCTACCGCAACACTCGCTGCAGCCGCGCCGTGCAGGCAAGCAAAGCAAGCAAAGCAAGCAAAACCGTAGAGCAGCAACAGCAAAAGCACGGCGCGTGAAAAGATTGCGACGACGGGCGGAGCGAATTCAAGCGTTCTAAGAGATACAAATGTACTTCTGAGCAGGCACATTCGTAGCCTCCAGACCAACATGCATTCAATCCGGGTCGCTCTGAAAGAGAACAAAAGGAAACAGGTTCACCAGTCTCACCATACCGACAGCAAATAAACGAAAACTCGCAGACAAAACTCTTGCACAACACAAGAAAAAAAACGACCAAGCGGCCCGCCAAAGCACGGCATCCGACGAGTTGCATCATGCACTTTTGGCAATATGAGAAACGCCACCCCCCCCTCTCATGATGATGACCCCGTGCCATCTCTCTCACCGTCGTCCAGGGCGCCCCCTTCCGTGCACGCCTCCTCCGCCATCTCCAGGGGGGACCAGAGCTTCCCTCCTCGAGCCGCGGCGGCCCGGGTAACCCCACCGACCAGCCGCGGAGACGCCCCGCACATGAGCAGCACCCTCGCGATGTCCGGGCGGTTGAACATCGCGACGAGGTGGAGCGGAGAGAGGAGGCGCGAGTCCACCTCGTTCGCGTCCGCCCCGCCCACCCCGAGCATAAACGAGGCCGCCTTCACGTGGCCCCCGTTGGCTATCACGAACCGGAGGGCCTGGCTCGCGAGGGTGTGTCGCTCGTGATCGCTACGGGCGGCCAGACAGGTCTCCAGCCAGCAGGTCCGCAGGCTGTCCCAGCCGAGGGACCGGGTCACCGCCAGCAGGGCGTCCTGCGCATCCAAGGCACGGATCGCAGCAGCAGTGAAACAGCAGCAGACAGCGGTAGAAAATGCATGGATGGGGTGATGCCAGGCAAGTCACAAAGAAAGGGACGACGTGAACAAAAAAAACGCCACGAGAGTGTGTTCCTGTACCGGTGCTGGCGTCCCGCACACTCGCTTGTTTGCCATAGGCGGGACACACCTCACACATCGACCCCCCCCCCCCCCCCCCCCCCCCCCCCCCCCCCCC